GGCAGGCATACAAGGTACTTTAACACAATGCTTAAGATATTAGTTGACAGAGCTCTAATGTGGCACATCTCTTTTTTGTTCGATGGTATTTCGTTTGACACTCGATCAATTCACGTGTTGTGTTCACGTCAATAACCGATGTAAACAATCTGTTCCCAGATTTCTGCTCTATATACTATTTTCCTTTGACTTTAAGACAGCTAAGATTCAGTGGAATACACTATAAACAGTCTGCCTGTTTGCTGTTGAACAAAATAGTAAGGTTTCTTTTGTTTTTTTGTCCAACAAAAGATCTCCAAAAGATGCTGCTTGGAAAACTGAGTTTTTTGCATACGTTATTTCATGAGAACGAAGAGTGCCCCAGCCAAAAAAACTTCAGAGCAATGTTTTTCAGGTAAAACTAAGCCTACGTGCCAAAATTCAGCTGTTTTTGAGCACTTTCAAAATGGCCAAGAAATCTAGGGGACGTTCTTCCACGTGGCCTTTCATATCTCCCTCAGAGCTTTATTATCTAGCTCTCTGCACGCATTGCAGGCCTATGATGAGGGAGCATAAATTATTGTTTTAGTATAAGTCTACTAGTCGTTCAAAACTTTATCTAAATCCCCTTCACAGACACTTTGAAAATGCCAAGAAACGGCCATCATTTTGTTAACAAGTGTACACTGCTATGCTACTATCTATCACAGAATGGATAGTGAGTAGCATAGCCAATTAGAGAACGGCATTCGTGATAGAGCGCTAGTAGATTTATACTAATACTGAGTAGATGAGCAGCAATGTGGGAGCTGAAAAAAAAAATGTTTACTTAATGATACATCTATACATCTGTCCTCCGGTAGATCATAATAATTTATTAAGAACCAATCAAAATGCAAGAATAATTTGACTTATTATATTAAAAAAATTATAAATTGTCCTGCTCTCGACCAATCACTATGCAATAATATTCTCAGTTGTATAATGAATTCAGTAATCAAGCATTAATTTTTGCATTTTGCTTCACTTCACAGCTAAAAAGGCTCATAAATAACTGACATTTTTCCTTGACAGGTCTATGGGTGTGGTCTTGTATGAATTGTGTAATCTACAACATGCTTTTCAGGGTGAGGTAAGACTCTTCACTGTAGGTTCAATACAAGACAAGGCTTTCATGAGCAAATTACCTACCTCACTTAAATTCTATAGTACTGGACGCCTTGGAGACAGTCGAAGCCTTGCTGCCGCAGTTAAGGAAAATGCAAACCAAAGACTCCAGATCATTTTATATTCTTTGCCCATGGTTATTAGTAAATGAAAATTGCTGCTTGAGGCTGTTTAATTTGTATTTCCCTATGTTGTTTATGTTAGCAGCTTCTAGAACACAAGACTGAACAACAAATCTGGTTTGTTAAATTGTAACAAAAACTAAATATAATCCAGAATAACACACATACACCTGGCCCCTGTAACAAAATCTATGTCAAGTTGATTGTAAATGTTGTTTCAGAGTCTGATGGGTGTCATGTACAAAATTGTCGAAGGAAATCCTCCAAAATTATCAGAAAAATACAGCAGGGAACTACAGACATTGTATGAAAGGTATGAGTACTGTTAAATGAGTGTCCCTGGACTTAAAATATGAAACTGCATGTGCTTTTCAATCAATGTCAAATGATTTTAATGTGCAAACTTGAGTATCTGTAATGTTTAGGGATATTAGGAACTAACAATTCCAGGTAAAGATTCATTCATTCAGATTTGTAATGTATGAAAAAATGACAATATGATAGTTATCTTATAATTTAATTTGTTTTAGAGGTCTTTAGATAAACACAGCCATTTTTATTGTTTTTTTGAAGTCATGTAATTGTAATAATTGTGGGTGGCTATTTCTTTTGTTTTCGCTTTTGATTCTACAGAGTAGCTTGTTTTTCCTGATGTGATTGCGATTTTATCGTAGCATGTTAGATAAAGATCCAGCCAAACGACCAAGTGCAAGTGAAGTTCTTAGAAATGAATACATTGCACAGAATTTAGCGGTAAGAAATTATTTGTATCTAAATAATGCACAGTTTACACTGAATCATTTCTTGGTGGCTCTGTCCATACTCTCCTATTGTGTCTTCTTTTACAGTAGTATTAATAATAGTAGTTATCACGCGTACAACTCTGCTGATTGTAATTGCATTACTGATGATATTTATTTTTCTATAATGTATATTTTTCTATCAAATTTATTAAATTGGCAAAATGGACACAATATATTTTGAGTGTTCTCTTTATTATGTGTATTCCAAAGTTTATAAAATCCACCTATGACCAAGTCATGTTTTAGAAGCCTTAATGTTAATGGCTTAGTTTTAAGCCTGGTCTAATCAATCAAACATGTTTGTCTAACATTCCCACGTCACATTGTGTGAACTGGCCAAATAATTGCACATTGTGTTTGATACATAATGCTTGAAGAGAATTTATAATTCAGAGATAGTTAATCAATCAGCCTTGCTAATCCAACAGGACTCTACAGGGTTAGGTTTGATTGTTTAGCCATAACTCCTATGTTTACTGACTAACAGACTGAAATTGTACAATTTGTTTTATTGCAGAAACTAAAGCATCAAATGGATGATAAACTTAACTTTTCTATAGGGTAAGTACAATAGTTTAATTATTTAGTTAATCCACAAACTACTGCGAAAAATATACCATCATAACTTTCCATGCATATCTCACTTGTCAACAAATAACCTAATTTCCAAAGTGTGTTGGAAGTTTGTCACATTAGAACCTGGTTATACTGTCCAGCTCCTATAAGTATCTGTTGTACTTTGTCTTAAAAGTGGGTGGAAAGTCTTGGCTTCTACTCCTGTTTGGAGAACTCAGAAGTTTGTTTGTTTGTTTGTTTTTACAGTAACTTCAACCACACTCTTGAGTATTAATTAGCCTGTTCCAGGCTCTCAGTCAGTGTAGGATTGGAAAAAGCAGGCAGGCAATGAGCAGAGAGGACCCTCTCTTTTTCTCTCCCAGATTCTGCTCATCACCCGGTCACTTTTTCAATCCCACCCAATGACTGAGAGACTGGAACAGGTTAATTATTGTTTATGCGTATGGTTTCTATGGTTTCTTGGTTATAGATCAGGTAAACAAGGTAATTCAAGACAACTAATTGAACCTCGAGGTGGCAGCTTGTATCAAGAACCAGAAGGAAGACCTCTTACTCCAATGTAAGTACAAATTGTTATTAAATGACTGAGAATAGTACTTCATTTTGATTGGCTGAAAACAGGTCGATTTATCATTAATTTTTAAAGTGGTTCTATGATCAAACTTTTACCCCTTGATTTTTGGGTGTATCACATAGAATTCCATGAAAGAATAAAAACACCATTTACAGTTTTTTCAAATATCTCCATTAGTTCCAGAGATATTTAAGTTTGAAAAATGTGTGAAATATGCAAATGAGAGGACTGATGACGTCATACACTCAACCCAACATTACATTAAGTATATAAATAGAGCTATCTCGGTCAATTTGCAGCAGAATTCATTGAAACTTGGTAGGCTAATAGTTCTACAGAAAACACACCTACGGCTATAAAAAATTCTGTTCCCATGGCAACTCACTCTTTTCCAGTCCCCACCCACTTGATTTCTATATGTTAGTGATTTTGAGCTTGAAAAACATTTAACAAGACCACAAACTGGAGTTAACATATCTATATGCTTGCTGGATCGTGCATATGAGACACTGTTAGCAAATATCAAAATGGATTGCCAAAGGTGGCCAGAAAAGCCTTTAATATTGGGGAGGTCTGGAACCCAGTATGTTGCCATGGTAACAAAACTGTTAGGCTCGTACTGTGGAGCACATTTAGTAGAGTCTTACTGCAAAGAAACAAGCATTTCTGACACAAATTGGCTGAGATATATTTCTTCATTGTTTGGTTAAGTGTATGACGTCATCATTTAGCTAATTTGCATATTTTAAAAACTTGAATATATCAGGAATGAAAAGAGACATTTGAAAATAGTAAATGGCATTTTTCTTCTCATACATACTACTTGTTTATGTGTTAAAATGGCTTAGATAGGAGAGATGCAATTTCGTCATAGTACCACTTTAATTAGTATTGCATTGTAAATTAATATGTTCATGTTCATAATTTTCTCAGTCATTTAAATGGGTGATTGTGTAAAAGCTCAAGTAACTAAGGATTTCCACTACTCGTGATATTTGAAAATTCTTTCAAGTTGACTCACCTAAAGGTTCATGCAATTTTGAGAGAATTTTCAAATATCATTCAATTATGTAACTACTGTCAGTTTCTTAGAAGTGTCCTTCATAGACCTTTCCAAAGTGACCCGGGTGGAGAGGAAACACAGTGTGGTGGGGACTGGAATAATCCACAATCATTCTCCTGTTGGACTGATCTGTTGACATCTGTTGTCAACAGTTTGTGTTCACAGTTCCGTCATCAGTATCGAAAAAACTCGTGAAAATCATTGACGGTTGTTTCCGTACAGCGTACTGTCGTACATCATTTTACTGTGATAAAAAATGACACAAGTAAGTTTTAACTTAAAGTATTGTTAACTTAACAGTGAAGTAATATAAAATTGTGCGCTGTCAAAAAAATGTAAGACGTTCACTATTTATAGGGACAAAATGAAACTGAGGAAACAACAAAAAGCTGATGAGGAGGCTGAAAAAATTAGGTTTGTTGTATTCTGTTTGTTCTCTGATCTTTAACGAAGCCCTCTGGGAAAACGTTAAACCAACATAGTACATGGTTACAAAGTGTTTTTCCAGCTTTCCGCTCGATTTCTTTATTCATAAACCAAAGGCTACGTGCTTAATTCCTTGAATTAAATAACTAAATATTTCATATGCTTTACTTGTGATATTTATATTCCTTTGTATCTGTGTTTGCAGGAGATTTACTGCTGCCCAGAAAGCTGAAAATCAAGAACGATACACTTCACACAAGAAAAATCAGGTACAATGAGACGGAATATCTCTCATAAATAAGATTAATTGGATATTTGTTTAAGATGCATTTTCTCTTAGGCAACAAGCCGTTTTCACACCAGAAACAGGCATGACCTCAGACACGTTTTCCGCGTAATAGCATGGGTGACAAATCACTCCTTAATTTTAGCGCGAAAATTCAGCGTTAATTTATAATTTCACATGTGAAATTAAAAAATTGCCATGGCAACTTTTTGATACAATAAACAAGTCAAATACCCACGATTGTATGCATAATTTGTCACGCATGATATTAACAGGTAATCAAATGTTATACTCGTAAAATGTTGACAAAACGCGTGTGGAGTTATTTCCTTATTTCACACTTCACCATTTAATTACCAATACTTAAATGTGTTACGTAACTAGTGTGAATGCAGCCTGTAAACAAGCTGTCTTGGAAACCGTATGTAGAGAGGACTAAAATTATAGAATAGATAGACCATGGATATAGTGGATATCCTTGGCTCCACCTGCTACTCCAACAGAGCTTGTACACAGGATGGTGTGAATGTGGCAAGTGAAAGTTTGGATGAATAACTCGTCGGGATTTTATCATCTAGTTACCGGTCTGAAGCGACAGGTAGGTAGACGAGTAAAATCAGAGAATTATCACCATAAAACTGTAATCACCTTGAATGGTTTATCCGTCTATATCCCAGAGAGCTTATGTCTATTTTGATACTATTGACAAGAGACTTGAACATCCTGGAGTTTGTAATTTGGCTTGGCAAGCCGAGAAGTGTAGTGATGGAAATCACCAGAGCATATGCCATTTCTGATTTACCTTGTGCCTCTGTTTCAAAACGAGTCTTTGTGCAAAAACTTTCTTAAGAAAATAGGTTTGATTTGCATGAAACTGAACCTGCAGGGGAATTATTTCCATATGAATGGTTTCGCACAATTTCTCGTTTTGACACAGCGGCAAAAGGCAACTCGGAAATGGCCTGTTTGGGCTTTCATACTTTCCTGGGTTTCCGAGGATATCTGAATCTCTTTACGTCTGGTCTAACGTTCTCGCAATAAAATTGTTTCCTTAATCAGAACCGTGTATCATTACCATGGGTTGAGGAGCACCCGGATGTGTTTAATGATGCTGCATTCACTATCACAGCAACTGACTCAATGGACTTCACTCCACCCGCCGCACCCTACACATCAGTGCCTGTTGTGTCACGTAATAACAGGGATGATCAGCAGTGTGCGACAGGTAAGCTTAGCACAGTGTCACAGTGGAATCTTGTTTACGGACATTGCAGGGACATTCCTAGTAGTTGTATTTGGAGAAGCTTAATTGTGAATTTTTGTTTCCGCGGAACTGAGTGGACCTTTGGTTTCATTTTCGCCAGAAAATAACTGGAGGAAAGTGAGGTTCAAACTTCATTATTGAACAAAATCTCAGATAACAAACTTTCCTTTCAGTTATGCAGCTTAACAGTACAAATGAAAAATTATGATACTTTGAAAAATAACAAGCGCAAAACAGTTAAGTGTTTTCGAGACAACAAACGTTTGTAACTATTCAGTCATCTCGCGAATGATTAGATAGTCTTAAACGTTCGGCGTTTATTTGTTAGCGTTTAATCGTTTTGATTAATATCAGATAATTGTTAAATGTGTTGTTGTAGCTGAAGCATCGCTTAGTTTGACAGACGTGTCAGAAATTCCTGATGATGCTGAGTTCGCAGAGACGTTCTACTCACAATTTGATGACGAGTTTGAAAACGATGAAAGTGAAGATGAACTGGACGATGAAGATGACTTCAGTGCCCTGATGGGTCAAATGCAGGACGCGTTAGATCAGACAGCGTCAGGTGACCAAACACTAGGTGATGCTGACTTACCGAGTGAAGGACTTACAGACACATGGAGACACAAGAGAATTCAAGGACTCAGAGCGTATCCTAACACATTCCTGACACGAGTGTGGTATTAAACCCAAACTGTTGCAGTTGAGTTAGAAAACTCAGTGAAAGGATCCGAACTAACGAATGGAATTTTCGAGCCCCAAATGGTTTAAAATCGAGTGTCTATTTAACAGTTAGATTATGAGCTCGAGATTTCTATCGCGTGATAGTTGACGAGGGCACAGCCTGAGTCACTATCTCGCGATAGAAATCGCGAACGAAGAACCTAGTTGTTTTAGTATAAATCTAATAGTTGTTCAAAACTTTATCTAAATCCTGTTCACAGACACTTTGAAAACGCAAAGGAGTGGTCGTCATATTGTGAACAAGCGCACACTGCTACGCTACTCAATATTTACAACAGAAAAGAGAGTGAGTAATAGAACGTGTTAGAACGATGTACACTTAAACTTGATAGAAACACAGAACTAGCTGTTGACGTAATGATGGCGCGAGCAAAGAGAATTTACATTTTGATCATCAAATTGAACAAGTTGTTTCTTTTTTTCTAAAAGAAATAGAAAACATGTTCTCTTTGTTCTATCGAGTTTTAGTATAAATCTACTAGTGTTCTATCACGAATGCCGCTCTCTGATTGGCTACGCTACTCACTATCTATTCTGTGATAAATAGTGAGTAGCGTAGCAGTATCCGTTTGGTAACAAAATGACGGCCGCCTCTTTGTGTTTTCGAAGTGTCTGTGAAGAGGAGTAAGATAAAGTTTTGAACGACTAGTAGATTTATACTAAAAGAATTAGATTATTCACTCTCGATTTCTATGCGTGATAGTTGACTAAGGTACATAGAAATCGAGAATGAATAATCTAATTTTTTGATAGAAACTCGATAGAAACGCGGTACATGTTTGCTATTCTGACAAAATTACTTCATTGCGAGCGGCTGAGAGCAGGACACGCTACATGTTTTCTCCTTGAAACCTGTCTGCTTCAGTTGCTGGAGACCTTAGTGAACGTTTGCACCCGCGTGTACGTAATTTTCTTTGTCATATAATAATGAGTAATCGTATGAAAGCTCGAGCAATTAAGGATTTCCACTACTCGTGACAGGCGAGTGCAATTTGAAAGAATTTTCAAATATGACTCGTACTGGAAATCCTTAATTGCACTCGGATTCATACAATTTCCTATACATATTCATTCGGTTTACCCTACGAAGACTCTACCCTCTTTCATGATTTAATCGTATTCAGGATGTCACAGTTTGTATTCATCCATGTTTACCTTAACTTGTAACTAGCGAGTGTGAGAAGTTACTTGGTGGTGAAGCATTTCGTCGAGTGTATTCTTACCTCAAACAAGTTCGCTTTGGAGACGAGCTGAGAAATGAAGACTCCATACTGGACGGACTGGCGAAAATTGTAGATAAACCAGGAGACTGCTTTATTGTGGATCAGTTGCTTTTTATGGAAAAACAAGCCGAGATTGCTGCCATGACGTAATTCTAGTTTGAATGTAGTTTTAAGAAGTAATGTAAATATGAATGTCAATGTGTAAAATGTAGCTTCATAAGTTAAGATTGCAAGGAGCCCATTTTCCCGCCAACGGCACTCGCTCGTTAATTGTGCGTTTAGCTCGTTCAAATTGTAGCAGAGGTACAGACTGCTCGCGACGGAAAAGTCAATTGTTATTTTTGTATTAGAGTGAATTTGACTTGCGACTTTGAAATTAGAAGAAACCCGGGAGCAAAAAGAAACAAATTTCTGGTTTTGCTCTCAGTATGAAACAAAAGTGTCGAGAAGTGCTAGGCATTGGTGTATTAGGAGTATTTTTGATAAGTTATCATGTTCCACTGAAACCTAACCTTATTTCCGCGCAACAACTCTCTCTCTCAAACAGTCACGTCTGACGCACGTCATTAAGGATTGCGTTACAAGCAATTAGGGACTGACCGTTATATTTTGAGGGGGAGTGGGGTTGGGCAGTTTTCTGGGGCATGAGTTGTGAGTTCATATGTGCTAAATCATTATTTGGCTGTGTGACTGCGCGATGCCGTCCACATTTCACCCTTGGTCATCAGAGTCTCCAGCAGCTCAGTGGTTAGAGCATCCGCCTAGATCACAGAGGGTTCAAATCCCATCTGTAACTCGGTTTTTTTTCTGAGTTGATGCTATTTCTGCGTGAAATTTTGCAATAGTTTGGGCAAGAATTTTGTTAACATCGGAAGTCAAAATAATGATATTAGAAAGCACTTCCTCGATTTTTATCCCATGGCTCCCCTTGCACTTTTTTTTAGCTGTTTTTGTTGTCCCGGAATGTTTTTGCAAATTACTCACCCCCCCCCGCCTCTTTAGAAAAATAATGGTCAGCCAAAACCACTTGTCCACTCTCCAGTGTTGCCTTGCCCAGATTTTGAAAACTACTCAGGGTCACTTAGAGAACTACTAAAGGGTTGTCCTTTGGGGAAATATGGTGTATCTCTGAAGAATAAATTTCTAGGTTAGCTAGGTTCTTCTATAGAATCCTCAGGCGACGTAAGTGAAAAAACGTAGTCTACGATCAGGCTCTCTGGCGCTGCGGCACGAGCAGTGAAGCTGCAAGAGGAGAACCTGCTCGTAAGCTAGAAAAAAAAAAGGCGTCATTTTAAGTTATTGGTGCTGTTAATATACAGACTTAAAAGTTGTTTCTTTTATTTTCATTTTTGGCATTGGCGTAGTTTCTGTTGTTGTTCTCCATCGTCCATAGATATGAATCGAACACATTTCATTTGTAACAAGAGGTATGGACAACAGTACCAAACATATTTTAGTAGATCTTATTAGCTACTTTTCATCATTTTGAAATAAAATTGTGTGTTTATTGCAGCATGTGTAGGTAGTAGAATGTTGGTTACGTTTCTATGTTAAACGACGAAGTCAGTTCAGTGGGCAATAAATGAAACCAACCAGGCAGATTGTCCTATTTCGGGGTCAATATTAACTACTTAATAACCGAGAGTGAGGTCGTTGCGGGAAAATCTCAAACTGAGGTCTTGCCGTATTGACCGAGCGATAGCGAGGTCAATACGGTAAGCCGAGGTTTGAGATTTTCCCGTAACGACCGAACGGTCGAGGTTATTAAGTTGTTTATTATATGGCTCACGAATTGAAGAAAAAAAAATTATTCGAGCGGAAGTTGTCAATTTACATCCGGCGATGCGCGCGTTTACCGATTCATTCATCGTGTCAAACCCAGGGCAAAACTACACAGTCAATGAACTTTACCACTGTATTTCTTTACGGGAAAAATGATTGTCACAGCCCTCAAAAAGGTATTTTAGTAT